TCACTTGATTTTATTCTCCTTAGATATGAAATGATATGTTGTAGAACAAAAAAATTTCAAATGATTACAATTAGTCATCTTTTTGTGACTCAATTTAAACAGTGTTAAAAAAATTATTGCTTTGAAAAGTGAAAGGTTTACCAAATGCACTACGACATGAATAGCTTTAGCTCAAGTTTCATATAGTAAATTTGATTGAATTAACATACTGTGCGTCTTCTCAAACATTGTTTGATTAAATTTCTCAAAAAAGCAACTTATTACGAAGAATAAACTATGAGAAGATGATGAATAAGTTCAAAATTATTAAAAAATATACTCACTGCTATCATCAGTATGTCAAAATCTCACTTTGTGTTTAGTCTAAATCTCAACTTGAGCTCTCTAATTTTTGAAAGTTTAAACATCTTAGACTTATGTGTAAGAAAATGAACACACAAAATTGTTGAAATATTATCCATAAATGATATAAATTATAATTTCCCTGAGATTGAAACTTTTGGAGAATGTCTCCGCATATCATTATGTCAAACGGATTATTAACGTGGTGACTATAGATTGTACACTATAATGCAATTATATCTTCATCTTAATAAGTCTTCACTCAAGTTTTAACTAAATTAAGATGATTACATCAGAGTTTTATTTACAGATAAATGTATTTATTTTATTAAATTTTTATGTAATTTAAATTTTTTAAGTTTCTTTTCAAAATATTACAAACAATGCAAACAGTCTATTATACTTAAACAAATGATCAAACAAAGAGTCAATGGAGTGGATACATATGCTACATGCATTAAAGTTAGAAGTGCAATAAGATCAAAAAAATCATTCACCTCTTGTGAAATTTGATGTATGATTTTGTTGATATATAATTAAAAAAATTAATATCTTAATGTAAAATATCATATAACTCAAACATGTTTCATAATACTTTCAAAAATAAAGTTTTTTTTATCAAAGTTGTAGCTATTAACAAATTTGTGAAACATAGTCAAAGAAGTCTGCATCACTCAAAGAAAAAATTTTTGATTGTTCAAAATTGACAAATACATATAAATATTGATTGCAGAAGATTGATATCCGAAGTAGAAAATCACATTTAATTTTTTAGGAATTTTTTTTTCTTGTAATGATCTTAAAGTTTATTCTTATGTTTATGTTCTCTTTATAATATTGAAACGTATTGATGCAATGTCACATATTTTGTACCTTTGTTTTAATATAAAAACACATTATGTTTTGTATATGTCATTATGGCAAAAACATGTATCAAAATCAAAACATTTCATCAATTCAATCAATCTTTATCAATCTTACGAATAGATAATTAAAAATGTGAATTAATAAATATAATGAAAAAATATACTTTAAGTCATGATGATATATTCAAATCAAATTTAATTACAGTGGAATTTATCATATGAATCAAATCAAAAATTGAATAGATGCAATGTATCTTAAAAGTTAGAGATATTTGTGATTAGACTTAGTTATAACTAAGATAGAGATTATTTAAGATGAAATTTGCAATTAATTTATAGTACTTCTATATTAGCAATTCATATGCTTGGTATATAAAAATTGAACATGTTAGTTGAGAACAATTTTTCAACAATCCATATACTTGTTAGATAAAAATATAATATTATAGATACACAAAAAGTGAAACTAACAATGAGTATAAGATATTATTTCCTTATATGTTTTGAAAAAAATCTATATAAAGAAAAAAACAATCTAGTTTATTTTTATATTCAAAGTTTGTGTTTTGTAATGAATTTTTTGTATTGAATTCATAATATTGTGCGCATATTGATAATTTATAAATGAATAGTTGATTTGATAAAAAAATGTACAATTTTTTAAAATATTTAATGCGTTGATTCAATAATAAAAAGTAATTTATGATTCAATTTAAATCTTCATTGTGCTAAAATATAGCAATATTTGTGTAGAATTTCATGTCATTGAATTTGAGAATAAAATTATTATTTTTTTATATTGAAATTAATGAAGAAAACATGTATACATTTTACGAAATAATGCTTAGACTTTAAACTTTAGTTGAATTATATTCATTGTGTGCTAAATGAGCATCATTTTTGGATTTAATTCATAATTGTAACACCCAAATTTAGAGAGAATCTCAATCAAAGATAGAAACATAAATTATGAAGATGAGAGATACTAACAATGTTTATACTCTCTCTTATAAAGTTATTATCAACAAGTACAAGGAGATGAGAGCTTAACCTCACCATCTATCCCACTCCTAGTGGATAGATAACATGGCGGATAATCCTAATAAGCACACGGATTGCTAACATGACTATATAAATATTTTGAATAACCTTTACTTTAGTTCTAACAAACTAAAGATGTTTACAATAGCTAATGTTTTTATAATATTTGTAATATGATGTATAAGATTTATAAATTTAGATATAACAAATTTCACATAAATTTTACCAATGATACTTTGAGTTTTCTTTAAGCTTATTTTTGCATGAGAATTTTTGGAGTATTTGTCACTTTTAAGAGTTGAAAATTCCATGTTGAGACTTAGATTAAAAAAATGTGAGATTATTGCAAGAAAAAACAAAAAAGATTACACTTTTGAGTATTTTGATTTACATTATTTTCTTTAAAATATTAGTTATTTCACTGCAGTATATACTTTTCACCAAATTGACGTTATCCAACAACTCAATCTAACATAATTATAGCAAAGCAAATGTAAATTGAGCCAATAAGATTTATTACATACATTTTGATCCAATAATTTAAACACAAAATATTTTTGATTTTTTTAAGTAATAAATTAGATGATATTATTTGACTTGAAATTAAAATTGCTTGCCAACCGTTTATATTTGTTAGATGTAATAGATATTCGTTCAAACCTGATTGCATAAAATTTCTAAACTAGAATTTATGTATCAAATTATTAAACTTTTTTTGTGTAACTGAACACATCAAAATGATATTAAGTATTACAAGTTGTAAAATATACTCAACAATGTGTTGATTGTTGATAGTGATGTTTTGTCAACAAATCTAAATCATCAAATGAGGGAAAAAAACTCAAGATATTTATGTTGATATAAAATATCATATTATAATTATTTTTGAAGTAAAATCCATTATGAATGTTATTATAATAAGATATTAAGATTAAAGACAGTATATCACATATCAAAAGTCCAAGAGTGTCAAAATTTGCCAAACTTGCACACAAGTCCATTCATGTGGATTAGGCAAAATCATCAAATAAGGATGTGTATATTCCCATTTGTAACTTTGAATGGCAAAGAAAAGTTGAACAATGTCATCAACAAGTGACAAGTCTAAAGGTTTTATTGGTGATTTTGAATAAAAAAATATTTTGAGACAATTAAATCAGTAGATGATGATATTTTTTGATGACTTTGATTTAGAAATAGAATAATGAGGTGCATAATTTATAATAAAAATTTGATTGAAATTGAGTAATATGAAATTATTAATTGATAATAAGATTTGGAATCTAATGAAGTGATAAAAAATTTAACAGTTTTTGGATACAATGTGGATACAAACTGAAGTATAACCTCATTTAGGGTTTAGATGATAAAAATTTTTATCATATGTTACACCTCACATTTCTTTCATTTCGCTTTTAAAGTTATGCAAATAATCTTTTTTTAATCGTTTTAATATAGTGTTTTGATTCTAACGTATGCACTTATGTGTGCGGTCAAGATATATGACCACCTACATTCAAAGGTAGATCTAGATACAGCTTGAGCATATCTTGGCACGTTGATATTTTAACGCAAAGGTTTGCCACACAAGATGCTAATGACAACGGTTACACCTTCCACAAAAGAGCAATTATATATCTTAAATTAGCAATCACAGTTTATCCCGTGAAGTCCTAATGCTGGACTTAACTTTGTTTTAGATATCCATACTTCTCATATATGTACCTTCTTATAGAGAAGTACATATTTTTCTTATTTTACCCAATCCTCCATTCAGAACCTTTTTCTTTGTTGATGTGTTGGCCACAAACTCGCCGGAGAGACATTATTGCAATTGTAGAGAGGCGATCATATATCCAATAAGAGATAGTGTTGCTAGGTTAACGCTGCTGCTAAAACATGCAAGCATCGAGAATTAGGTGATGTAAACATCTTCATTCCCTTTGATTTTGGATAAAGTGTGCGGCTGAAAAATTCCTATAGATCCAAACTCGTGGGAAATTTAGGGTGAAACATATTTCGATAAAATGTCAAATATTTTGAATAATTATGATTATGTTTATATATATTCCCATTATATAATCTTATCACTATGTCGAACCCATCTTATCAACACTTTGCACTTTGCATTTTGCATAGTTTACAAAAGGGATTTCATATCCTTACGATGTGTTTTAGCCTCTCCAAATCAAGGAAGATGTTTCGGTTGATTTTCGCAGTTTCATGTTTGTGAATCTTCTTCCTCTCCGGGTCGAGGCTTGAGCCAGATACATGAAAAATCTATGCGTTTCTTCCTAAGTGCACACAGAAGCTTCTAAGCCCAATGTTCACAAAAGGGGCCAAGTTGCCAAAGGATTGGCGACGTAAGGAACGTCTCGGCCTGGTGAAATAATTGGAAGCACTCGCAGCGCGTGCTTTGCAGCAAGGGACCGATGGGAGATTTCCTTCAGACTCATGCGGCATACAATTTCAGCGCTAGCCTGGCAGGAACACGACTGCAAAAGCTGTTCGAAGCAAGCCTTGACGTCGGACCATGTTCACCTCATGATAAACGCAAGGATTTTCAAAACATTTCGCAGTGCTCAGACTTTTTTGAACAATCAGACTTTTTCTCACGTACTTTCCATGTCACCTCTGGGGATAGTCAGCTCCGCTCCAACAAGTTCAGTCTCTTACGGGGTGATACAGGCGCCAGTCCACCGTATGGAGTCTTTACAGATGTCAGGCCCAATTTTTATGGTGGTATGGTGGTATGAACAAGCATGATGTCAAACTTTTAATACAAAATTATTCGATAGTTCCAACGGCGTCATACATTAGCTTCTCCTCAATCAGCCTCTACAAGGAGCTGAGTCTCATAACCTTTGGACACTTCATCGAACCTTTTCAGTACAGGGTCGACTAGCAATAGTTGCTTCGTGGCCATTACATTGATGTTAATGGAGGCCTAGCATTAAGCATGTGTTATAGAAAACAAATCCTCAAAAACTGCTCATCTACATACCGAATTCTATAAAGTCATCCAAAGCTAGCCATGAACCACGAAACCGTTTTCTAGAACCATGTTCGAGAAAATCGAGTCGATTTCATAGTCAAGGAAAACTTCTGGATTTAATCTCTTCCATCGTGAAATACTGTTGAAAAGATTCAGCATGGCTCGAGCAAATCCAAACAAAAATAAGCTATCAGTTTTGTGTTTTTAAACGTTCAAGCTGACCAGTCGAATCACAAACAGTGGCAATTGCTTATTGATGCATGCATAGTATTGTACACAAAGTCCTCGTTTTCGACACCTACTTCAGTAGAGACTTCAGAACGTCTTCTATCATTTGCCCGCTAGGAGTGTCACCAGACGCCTTATTGTGCTGCATAACATTAGCACGAACAATCAGTAATGAGCTGGAATCAAGTACTTTTGTTTCTTGCCGACAAGTGAACTGTCAAGAAAGTTGGCAGACGGCATACTGCTCAATAGCCTCTAAGTACTGGAGTCTAAGATTCTTACACTGGAGCTGCAAAGACAGCCGCTATAACCTTCCTGGCGGAGGATACATGCTCAAAAGCTAGCCAATCGTTACAACGAAGCGAAAGTTGGTTTTGTTGTAGACCTCAGCTCTACATTTCAAAATTTGTGTTCAATTCATCAATCAGTGTTACCAGGAAGAAGACATTCTTGAAAGAAATCGAAGAAGTTCGTCAACACTGGATCATGGATTTGTGTCGGTACCTTTGTCATGAAGTTGCAGTGGACGAGTTCCTTAAGGATCTTAGAAAAGGTGTATTGCTTTACCTCCAAGCAAAACATTTCCAAGGCTTGCAGAACGCAGCTTATCAAGTTACCTCGAGGTTTACAACTAAAACTGATCAGTACATCGTTACCACAACCGATGAATACCTGGACCTGTGGCTCCATAAGCAAAGAAGAATCCGATCCCAAACGTTCGTCATGGCTTGTAATAACTGAAATCTCTGTTCCTTGTTCACGGGCGGCGCCTGTGGCAGCTGTCAGCTTTCCCAAGCGACTGGGCAGCTCGGCAGGGCTACAAGCCAGCAAGTTTTCGTGCTCAGGTTCCAGCAGTCTGTTTGATATGGTTGAAATTTTCTTCACTCCAATGCCTTTTAATCGAAACTTCTCGAGCTTTTCCTGCATCCCTTTAACGTATTTCAGTGCGTCGTCCACAATAGCCGTCCTGTCCCGTTTCGACTTCTGTAAAAACTTGAACTTGTTAGTTTGTCGATACAAAATTCGACTGCCCAGTAGGAGATGCCACACTCTGTGTATTTCGTGTGAGAATATCATGTGGACAATGTCGCGAAAAGGAGCATATAAACCTGACTACAGAGTAAGATGTTATCAGAACCGCAACTTCTGTCATCCTTGCATACTGATTGTGAACAAGCACTAGAGCTTGATTTCTATTGACGCAATATGCGCATCACAATCCTCCAGTTTCCAAGAGGCATATTTTCTCACGGCTCTGAGTCATTCGCATGAGTGCTAAGCAGGGCTTCAGATCCGCTTTTATGTGGTCGACAGTACGCAATCCGCCAAATCAGTATGTGTAAAGATTCTGTAAGGAAACCAAATGAGCTTGAAAAATGTACAGGGGAACTTACTTTTGATGGTTTCGGTATCATGGAGTCGAGGGTTTTGTACATGAGTTTCAGGGCTATCCTTCGGTCTCGTTCTCGCCGCATGTGATCAGACTTCTGTAAGGTAACCACGTTCGGAAGTCGATCCTTCTTGTAGTTTTTAAGGTATCCTTCATGCATCGTTGCGATCTTCCTCTGCTCAGTAGAAGCTTTTGATTTAGCCTCTTTATCGAGAGTGCTAGCTTGGTTCCGATTCGGGTCGGGCGGAACTCTCTCGGAGAACTCCCAATTCGCACCGGCAGATAATAAATCTGATTTCTTCACCTGATCGTCTTTCCCCAATTGCAGCAGGCGCTGGCAATCTGTGGCCACGCTCGCGTGATTCTGCGTAGCAACAGGACCGAGCTGCAGTTTCGGAGGTATGGCTGTAGCGTTACCCGTCACAGAAGCAGCTGCTGCAGGCAAAATAATGCGAGCAGACGGCGTGGTCTCCTTCTCTTTGTCCTTGAAAAATGGCGTAGAACCTTTGTCCAAAATCAGATCAGCCACTCCGGAGCAGTCAATGATCGGTCCAAGGGTGACCGTATCATACAGGAGCGGAGGAGTGGAGGGTGAAGATTCTGGGACGGATACTGGTGCCTGTCGATAATCAATCTGCTCAGGGGAGAAGGTGAAAGAAGGCCACGAATCTCCTGCCCCTCCATGAGCGTACGTTGGCTGCGAGTAAGTCCCGGACTCGGCCACGAAGGATGTAGCTTCCAGAGGAGCATGACTTGTCCAGGGCGTGAACACTGTCGGAGTACGCCCATTGCCTATTTGGACTTTATTCATCCCCATCCCACATGTCAACTGACGGTCCGCTTCGAAGTGAGCAGTGATAGCATGCACAAAGCTGGCATGCGCATTGTTGCACCTGACTCGACCGAGGTCTGTCCATGGGATCATTTGCTTGTGGCATGTAACGACGAAAGCGTCGAGCATGCGCAGCAAACGGATACCTAATGCCTGTTAATCCGCATCCAGGGCTTGCAGCTTCAAACCCTTCAGCTGTACAGAGCTGACCTGAGCAGTAGAAGTCCGAGTTCTACTTCTCGTACTGTGCTTACTCCCCTGGAGCCTGAAGGTTTCCCGCTTTGCTAATGGCCTCGGGCGAGAGTCCACGTTAACAGTTACTGCTTTAAATCAGACAACAGAACATTATCAAAGTGCTGGCTGGGCCTCGTGAGCAATTGCATGATACTTACTCCCGCTAGTTTTGATCCTCGAGGTGAGGGAACTGGGCTGCGACCATATGCGTGCACTCTAGACTTAGGAGCAGAAGAGTGGCACATGCCTCACCCTGGCCCCTAGTATCATGGCCACTGGGGGTTCCGAGCTTTTGCCTTTCCCTTTCCCTCGGCCGCTGACTGTCAGCCGAGCGAGTTCCTCTTGCGGATTTCCAGATGGAGCCATGTGGTGAACCCGGGAAACTTTCGAACATACTGGTGAAAAGGGATATTTCTCGGGCTCAGAACCTGGCTGAGCCTGAGTAAGTCAAGTTGGATGTTTGTACATGCTGATAATGCATAAAGTGAGCGAGTAGGTCGTCGGATTGACATCGTCGGCACCGGCGACAAGGCGAGGGCCAAACATCCCCACAGCGAAGACCATCCTCAGAAGAGGACGGTTCCTCAGAAGAGCTGATGGCGTGGCGTACGTCCTCTCTGCCGATTCTGTGAGCAAGCGAGTGTGGGACGAGCTTCCAAATACATTATACTCCAGTCCGTGCAGCGTCGCTGTGACGACTGTTTGGCTCCCATCTCTATCTCGCTCGTGTAATGATACCTCAAGGTTTCATATGCGGTGCTTTGCTGTGGTGTCGCTTCTGGCTATCAGGGTAAGGCAGTTCTTTAGCGCGGATGCAGATGTTCTCATTTTCGGACGGGCGGCCATGTACTGCGCAAGACGTCTGAGCTCAATCATACAGTCAGTACCTATGCTCCTATGCTACCATGTCAACCTCAGCAGTTCAGATCATCCGCCCATAATCCTGCGCCGGGCTACCATAGCGCTGTGGCAGTCCGGACTCAAGTCCAATAAAGCCCAGCCCAGTCCAGAGTCCTGCTCAGGCCACAGGGCGTTTTACTTCTCACTGTCTTCAGATTCCGGGTACGAGAAGTCCACCAGCCGTTTCGATGCGTTCCGAATTCTACAGTGATGTACTGATAATTGCAAATCTTCAGCGGTAAGTGAGCAAAGCTGTCGACGGGTGAGACTCGATAATCGCTCCTCCGTTCAGCGATCCAAACCATGCGCAAGAACAAAACATGAGTAAAATTTGGCTGCCCACAGCGGTCCCGAATTAGTTATCCTCTTCAGGAGTGTTGCGTGTACCAGTGCAAATTCGGCGATCCCCCATGGATGGAGCCGCCGCTGGATTATCGGACGGAATTTTCACCTCCCTCGATTTCTTTTTGGTCTGCGGATTGAGGTTTCTTGCTAGAGGATAGCGGGGTTTGTCTGACTATCAAAGTCTGCCCTAGCTTTATCAGCGAGAGCGAGATCGAGTGCGAGTGATGCAGTACAGTGTAAGAGGAGTTACATTGGCATACAGGTCCAGCTTTGAGATTTTGCTCCGGAAACTCAGACTTGATCCAGAAGAAGATTCTGCAATCAAGTACGGTTCTTACACACTGCTCAGCTTCGCGGCCGAGCCGAAGTCTCGATAGACTTCGAGAAGATAGTTTGCCCTCTCCAGTCAAAGTCTAATCCGGCCTCCACTGATGCGATACTCCGTGGCTTCTTCCGACCCAGAGCACAGCGGATCAGATTCCATACGCCTCGGCCAACTGTACTGCTGGGCTCCGTCTAGATAAGAGGCAAAAGATGGTTGCAGGGCTAGCTTTGCGTGCGTCATGTTGATGCTCGGACTCGTACGTACTCGCGACTGCAGCAGCTACGGTCCTAATTGGCCTCTAATTGGACTCCCCCGGTCTCAGCATCCCTCGCTCGCAGCTAACATCGCCATTACGGCGACGCCGGGCGGACGGACTCCGTTTGCAAACGCCAACTTAGTCACGTCGGCTGCAGAGTTATGGTGCAATGGGCCATGGAACGGCATATTCTACGCTCGGTCCACACGTCCACGATTAGCTGGTCAAAACCTGCGCCTGCTGAACGAGCGAAAGTTGACGGTATTGCACAATGTCAGCTGGCCAATACAGGAAAGGAAGCTCTGGTTGGGGGGCTGGTGCTTTACTTACACTCGAGGATCAGCCGCTGGCCACTTTTCGAGAGTCGGCGTCTGTGAACCAGGAGATCTGCAGCCGAGCCTGCAGCCGATTGGAGTCAGAAATCGATTGACGTGCAGGGAGAAAATGCCGATGTCATTGATTGGTCGCTCGTCATAAATCCCGTGAAGTTCGGGAGCCCGTACTTCTGTGACAGTATTTGCTTGTCCGTGCAGCGAGATGACAGTCGGACTAGAGCATGTCTTTAAGCTTGACCATCTCGATGTCACAGTAGAAGCCCGAGATCGAACTGCAGCGGGAGCAGGTTCAGATCTAGAGCCAGACAGCGCCAAAGGGTAGTAGTCTCTCTGCTTTACGACGATCAAGACGAGAGAACGTAGTGTATGCTGTACGAGCCCCCAAGGTACAACCTACTGGAACAGTGCTCTCGTTCGCTCGCTCGCTCGCTCGCTCGCACAGTGCGTCTCTGCTCTGCCCAGTCCGACGGACGGCCTCTTCGGTGCTCTGCTTTTGGTATTCTCAATTCCGGGCCCACTGCTATTAAATCGTACTTCCCACCTAACCTTTTCCTTTTTCAGCAGCAGAAGGACGGGCAGGGACGGGTACGGTGGAGTGGGATGGCGAGAACGAGAAGGAAGGAGAGAGAGAGAGAGAGAGAGAGAGAGAGGTTGGGTGTGGGGGCGATCGAATGAAACGGACTGAGCAGGCGAGGCGTCCTCGCGCTCCGGAGAAGATAGATTCCCCGAGATGTGACCCTCGTTTGCGCATCGTCGGGCCGTCCGTCGAGGAGGGTGAGCCCTCGCCAACGCTTTCCAGCAGCGTTGGCGAGGGAGATGCCGATGGACAGCGCACGCCACGACAACTGGAGTTGATTCGATCAGAGCCTGGCCGCCGGTATGGGCATGGTGCCGCGCGTTGGAAATGGCAATTCGCGCGCTCGGAGCCATGGATCGGATCGGAGACTCAGGGACCCGAGACGACCTCGCATGCCGGGAAAATGCGCCAAGCGAGGCGTGGATCGTGATATCATTATGGAGGAAGGATGAATCGACAACGTCGAGTTTGCACCTCCAGCGGCTTTCTACTTCGGGCAATTCTGATCCCGGGTGGATGAATTTGGAAAGAACGTACGATCGGCGGATGGAAGGCGTGACTGACAAGAAAATCCTGGAGCCTGGGACCTGGAGGAGTGCTTCAGCAGGACTGTCATCGTCCAATCCCTTCCTTCTTGTTCTCGGGTTTGAACCTCGATGACCGCGCCGGGGCCGCAGCTGCCCATTGTCTTAAAGCATCTACGCAAGAACACATGGCCGTGACCGTGCTCAGCTAGCCTGCTCAGAGACGAGAGTTCTACGAAACGAGGTCCTCAAATACTTCCCGTTTACGGACCCGGTTACGACGTGGAGCCATCGGGATTTACGTCGCAGGAATTTCGGTCCCAGGTGCACACTCGTTCTGCTCTCGTGAACAAAAGCTAGTGGATCTTTTCTCTAGCTTGCCGCTCGCAATGGCTGCGATCTGATTTCAAAGCATCCTGTCGATGTGAGGTCGTAGAAGTATTAGCGTGTGATGTGTTTGGAGTCTCCAGGACTTACTATGTTGGGTCAGATTGCACTGGAACTTATCCACAATGAAGTGGCCGTGGATAATGTAGAACGTAATATATATAAATAATATATTTATTGTTAGTTCAACTTTATTTTTGAGGCTGAAGCCTCAACCCAAACAGTCACGAGCAAACTTAGTATTGGCTCTCGACAGGTTGGACCTCGAAAGCGAAGATTGCATACAGATGTCATGTCTAAATCATCTGTCTCCACGAAAGTTTAGAATTTTTGAAGACACGAGTTCGAGAGAGGTAGCGTGCAAACTTGATTCTCATTCTCACAATTTGCTTTGAAACTCTACGGAAAGCTTGAGATGCTGCATCTCTACCTTCCCACAATCCCGTCAGGTTTCAGTATCACGTAGCCCAAGTGTCTACGGCGTGAACTGTCCGAGGGCTCTCACCGGACCCTTTTACGCGTCGTGGATCAATCAGCTCGCGACCGACCGCATGCAAGCCGTGATGGCGAACCTGGATGCAGGCTCATGGCATGCACAGATCCTCAGCAGCCCCATAACATTGGGAGATGGTTATCCACCAGCTGTATCTATGAAAGATTCAGCGATAGTTCTGTGACGTCCACATTGGTTGAGACGTTGATGCGTTATTCTTCTCATAGCCTAAGATGTTCAGGATCTGCAACTGATCCTTGAAAATTATTCAGTAACAAGCGAGCGCTCTATTGGGCGTGCGTGCGCTCTTCTGTGTTCATGGTTTATGCGATCTGTTTCAAATATTCAAGCTTTCTGAACGTGTTATAACAGCTGTATGGGTTTCATGACATTAAAACTTGCAACAGTCGTCCAACTATTAAAGTTGGGGACCTTAATACTCGATGTGAAATGTCATTGAAGATAAATGACACAATGATCATGCCTTCTAGCGTAATGCTCCAGGAACGTCGTGATCTCACATTCGCTGCTGTAGGGACTTGAAATTGTGTCGACAGCCGAATTCATTACAAAACTAGAATGCCTATCGACCTTCTCCTTTCGGCTCAAAAGCCTTCGAAGCAGCTTAACTTCGAACCTTTTGATTGTCATCTTGTGTGTGTGCAACCATATCTCATCTCTCGATGCTTGTACAATCGTTTAGACGTATCTCCTGTTTGCATGTTTCTGCGGAGTTTACTGACCACGCCGCTTGTGTTTAATGAGTAGGAGAAATAACACTATTGGTTTCATGGGTCTGCCAGAACGTAAACGCGGAGAAGTACAAGCTGCATGTATAAACCGATAGAAGTAGTGGTGAGATCACGATAGGAATCAAGTTTGCTCTTAAGTTCAGATTTGAATTTCCAGCTGAATTGCAACCAACGCGGGGGTGAAATCAAGCCATAAACTGCTACTCATGGCATGATTGTATTCACAATTATCAAGCCATAAGTAGTAATTCAGTGGCATGACTGAGTGGTGTGAGTTGCAATGTGGGGGACTGGAGTTTGCAATCTAGCACTTACCACTTAATGAAGATGGAAACTTCTTGTTCCTAGCGCGATTCGCACAAGAACTGACAAAATTGTTATATTACGCTAGCTAGATTTATGAATGCAGTGAGTGGAGCAGATTTATTTTTTTAACTAATTTAGGGGAGCTGTAAGACAAATGCAGTTACTGTCTATTCTCTGAGGACATATGCAAGGCGGGGAGAGCTCTAATTATCTTACGTCAGTAGCTTGTGACAGAGGAGTAGGAACATCGACAACCTCAAAATTGCACTTACTACCGTCGCTTATGTAGCACTTTCTATTGCGTTTGATTGTCAAGCCTGGCAGTCCAGACGTAGGAATGTTTCTTTGTGTATTGAGACTTAAGTCATGTTCAGGTTTCCTTCGTTCGTTTAGGCCAAAGCGTCTAATCAGGTGCTTTCGACCTCTTCGAAAGTTGGATGAAATCTGGAGGTCTTTAGAGATTAAGGTAAAGAAGAGAGGTAGACTAACACCAACTGCGTGAAGGGTTTACCTTTGGATCTTGCCCCTATTTACTGCACCTGATTAGACGGCGTTGACTGGAGTTCAAACACTGCTCTAAGAATCCAATTTTACAGATTTATCTCGAAGTCTGAGTGTCGATACATAGTATCAACACCTTTTCGATAATTCACATTCTACGAAGATGATAATATAGATGGTGTCAAGACCGTAAGATGCAAGGATTTTCAAATAAATTCCTTCACTTATATTTTCGTCTCCAAGATTATGTTTGATTTGATTCGCCAGTTGGTTCAGAACATCTACGCATGTAGATGTCCTAGTTCCCCATCGTACATATCTTCTTACTGACCCTTCTGGTAGGCTACTCTTGACTGATAAGACCTAGATTTCTTTTCATGATTGATCTCTCGCACAATAGCAAAGAGTATTGGACTGTCAAATCTAAGTCTAAAGAGAGAACCCTGAAGACGTTGTGCTAAAGCACATGAGCTCAGAATTACTCTATTTCACGCAAAACTGAAATATAGACGAGATTCTAGATGTCCACTTTCACTGGAATCGTTTGAAAACATTTTCAACGGATTCCAGTTATGTAGAGCGCAGACCAGTGGAATGATTTGAAATAACTTTACACTACAATGTAAACCTGAAATGAAATCAGGAGCTGTAAAATACTGAATCAGATACTGATGCTCACCACCGAGCGCTAATTTAGTGAACTTGAAACTTGATAAATAAGTCTGCATAAATTGGAAGCCATGTTTGCATTGGCTGATCAGATTTATATTGACATCTCCCCGCGCATATGTTTTCCAGTAAAATAATGCATCGTAACAAAGTATCTATATATGCACCAGCGCACATCATATCATGATCAGTTACATTGTTTCTCTGTGGTAGCCATGTCAGATGTCGAAGACTTGTCCTTTAAAAGCTCAATCATCGGGAACCTGGGTCCATTCAATGCTTGAAGCAAGGGTTCATCGCTTGAACAGGTTCAGATATTTAAATTCTTTGTTTCAAATAACGAAATTCTTCACGTGTATGTAGAACAAAATGTGAGGAGTATATTAGAGATGGGTGACTCGTTGTGTCGGGAGTTTGTTTCAAAGCCCAGTTCAATCAGCATGAATATTTGTGTATACTGAAACCTGGAACAAGTATTCCATTAGTACAGAATGATGCGGGTGATGTAAGGGGCAATCCAACTTGGAACCAACCATCAAGGTGAATAATCATCTTCGTCCGAAGAGGTCTTTAAGCTCGACTCTCCCTGCACATCTCGTGCAAAGCTTGGGGAGTTGATGAAAGAGTGTGGGCTTGAAATAGATTCTTAACCGACAACTCATGCAGCCTTCGGTCGGGTATTGCATAAATGTGTCAGCAAGAAAGCGAACCTATGGTTCATACTGCTGTGTATGCGATATCGTATGACATGTAGGAGAGAAAATTTCTGGGAACTAAGGACACACCTCTCAACTCGTATTACGCATGGCATTCTGGATGCCTTTATGCAACGTATACAAGCCGCAAGGGTAAACATGCTTTTTATGGCGGTCGATTATTGCCCCATACAAAACAATGCGGAAATAAAAATGTCAATAAGAGCTAAGAGATAAGAGCTAATTATCCACTCAATTATGAGGTGTGAGGACCGACTTAAAGAGATGTGTTCAACTACATAACAAGAACTTTTCTTGGTTTAGACATGCCTCAGATGAAACCACGTCTGAATGGAGAAATAACTTGTTTATTGCTGGAAAAGTAAAATAAAGTTGGACATTTGGCTTGAAGTACTATGTACTGAATGATATATAGGATACAGCAACGCCTGGATGTAATAGATTCCCAGTACAATATTTCCGGATTATAAACTCCTGTGGATGAGTTAGTTGTTCGATGGAAGTCATGTGTACCATTCCAAGTAATTAGCACCAACTCTGACATAATTAGCAGCATCTCTGCTCACATGAAAATTGGGAAGCAGGTAACGACTCTGTGTACGAAATATATCAATACAAGAGGTGAGATTATATCTCTATGCCAGTTCCTCCTACTCATTGTCTTATAAATTTACGTATGAGGCACGTTCATAAGCGTTATAAATGGGATTTAATATGATGTTGTAATTGTCATATAGAAACCCACAAAAACGTTCGTATCGTCTAAGCTCATTTTTGTAACGAATTATCACCGTCACATGAAAAAGTTAGGAGTTCTTTATGTTTTTTATTTTGAAAGTCATTCATTCTTGTCATGGATTGTAAAAAATCGAAAAACCAAACTTGCTTAATACGATCTTCATTTACAACGGAATGAGCCGTTGAATGACGAATCAGGCGAATCATAATATCAATTCGGTTCCTTCCAAATCCATGAAACTTTCAAGTTGATGAATACGTAACCAATTGCATGATGATAATGATGAGAAGAAGGTGCAAGTTGACATGCATATGACTTAAATATGTTAAAAAATTTCAGAGTTTTCCAGCCGTACTATTGGTGATTCACATATCCAATCTCTATATAATTTTTTCATCTTCGTACACTAAGGACCATTTGCCAATACATATAATATGCACTTGGAGTATCTTCATGAGCACGATTATATAATTTAAAAAACTTGAGTATATGAATTTCTAAAGAATATTTATAAGTTTTGAATCACGATGTCTTCCATTATTGTTGAGTGTATAAATATTTCCAGAGAAGTTCAAAATATACAATATCCAGTAAGAGAAGGCATCAAAAGGTTTAAGGATCGATTCTGATTTTCTATCTATAAAAATTCACTATCTGGAAACTGATTCGAAATCCGGAGAGTATAGCGCAGCTAAAAATTGCTAAACAATAAAAATTAAGCAATATGTTAGAGTGATATTGATATCAAGCTTCCCAAGCAAAAATTAATTCGAAAATATTTGATTATCTTTTAGAATGAGAAATAAGAACAACATGCTATAGAATTATTTAAACAATCTAAAATTTGATGAGATTAAAAATTATGTAAATTATTAAGAAAATCTAAAAACGTCATGCAAATGATCAGCATTGTCGTTGCTAAACGTAGATGTGGAAATGTTGAAATTAGAATTAGAATTTTCCTATATCTACGTTCAATGTAAGTTTACAAAACATGAAATGTAGAAAACAA